GACCTAGGAGGGCAAGGAGCAAAAACTGTCCTTTATGTCCCTCTGACCAAATTATTATAGGCCTCAAAGTATGTATGTTAAACATCCAAGAAGGTTAGTTCCACCAGTCTGGTACTTTTAATTACTGTGTGTCATGTAGATAAATCTTGGGCAAAGACCAATTGTTCTCAGATAATCCTTACCTAGACATATATTTCTTGATCTGCTATGTATAATTTGTCAGTAGGTTGTAGGAGTAATATGATTCCCTCTGGTTTTCAAAAGTAGCTAGGCATCATTTATCTCTCGTATTATCTCACCCCTCCATCATGGTTTTCCCTCTTAAGGTGACCCCATTGTGCCCCTTTCTCCAGTACTCAGCAGTAAAGAAAGATGAAATCATGAAATTTGCAGGTAAATGGACGGAACTAGAAACTGTTAGACTAAGTGAAGTAACACAGACTCAGAAAAAAATCACATTTGTTCTCCCTCATATGTGGATCCTAGAACCAGACTCTGATAAATAAGTATGCAACCAGACATAATTACAGAAACCAGGATAATGGAAAGGAAACAGGGAGGTAAAGGAAAAGAAAGAACCTGAAAGAGACGAACAGTAGGAAACAGGCCTTAATAAGGGAGATATGGATAAAAATTGGGATAGTTTAAGGGAGGGGTGAGGGAAGGGTATACAAGGAACCTAGGGGATAAATGGAAAGAAGGAGCTCAAGAGAGGTAGGACCATAGGAGAAGGGTATTAGTAAGGGAGAAAGAGGGAAAATGGGGGCACCCTAATTGGGAAAACCATGATGGAGGGGTTAGATAATGCAGCCTTAAGAGGGGAGATATAGATAAAAATTGGGTTAGTTTAAGGGAGTGGGGAGGGAAGGGTATACAAGGAACCTAGGGGATAAATGGAAAGAAGGAGCTCAAGAGAGGTAGGACCATAGGAGAAGGGTATTAGTAAGGGAGAAAGAGGGAAAATGGGGGCACCCTAATTGGGAAAACCATGATGGAGGGGTTAGATAATGCGAGAGATAAATAACGTCTACCTAGTTTTAAAAACCAGAGGGAATCATATTACTCCAACAACTTACTGACAAACTATACATAGCAGATCAAGAAATGTGTCTAGGTAAGGTTCACCTGAGAACAATTGGTCTTTGCCCAAGATTTATCTACATGGCAAACAGTAATTAAAAGTACCAGACTGGTGGAACTAACCTTCTTGGATGTTTAACAGACATACTTTGAGGCCTATACTAATTTGGTCAGAGGGACATAAAGGGCAGTTTTTGCTCCTTACCCTCCTAGGTCGACTAGTTCCAGGGGACTATGAGCATCTCTCAAAATGTCCTGTAATTGTGGTGGGTCACCTGTCCTCTTGATCAAGGAGGCCGAGGAGACCCCACCAGATGGACTTGAACTAGTGTCCACTCTACAAAGACAAGAGTCAACACAGAAGAATCATTTCCTCCATGCTTCCAAGCAAAGCCAGCC